TTAACATCTTCATTTTCTATAGTACCCGAATCACCAATCACGCTAGCATTGGCATTGTGCTGAGATGACCACCAGGTTGGAGAACAATGGACACCTTCATAAATTTTATTTGTTGAGCTTTCAACAAATTCCTGGAACTTGGTAGCCATGACTTCTTTGTCTTTGATCAACTGTGCAATTGTTCCATTCTGCAGCTTGACTTTTACATCAAGATTTTTTTTATTTCTAAACTCTGTCGATACAATTGTTCTTCTAGAGAAGATATCTTCAAGATAAGAGACACTTTTTCACGTTGTCCATCGTGTCCATCTTGAACAGAAAAGGAAGTTGTATTATTAATTGGTTGTTCCACATTGACACCAACATCAGTCCTCACTACTTTGTCAACATCATCTCTCACTACTCTAGTAGAGTTCATTTGATTACTTATCTTAGAAACGTGGTGACCAACTATCTATCTTCACACACGGGTGTCTGCACAGTGACTTCCTTGTCAGTAGTTCGTAGTGTCAGCAGTTTCTTTGACTTTGTGTTTCTTTATGGGAAATTTTTCTTGATCATGCTAATAGGTGTAGCAGCACTATACTTAGGGAAGTCACTATTGCGTGGTGTAGTTGGACGAAAGAGAAACTGTAATTATATACAAATTATTAAATATTTAACATAGATCATAAAAATGAATAAGAAACCGAGCAATAAAAATGCAGCATAATATAACACGGCATTGGGTTTAATGTAATATAAATATGAACTCGCATGCGGGTTGGAGAAAATAATGTTCTTCAGGCATGCATTACCAGGCCTCAATGTAGAAGACCATCGTAGAATCAATGGGTACGCAGTTGGGTTCACCAGTTCAGTAATATGTGTCACTTTAAGTGTGAGGAAGGCTTCATAAGCCCAAACTTGTAATGCCATAACACAGCTATACACATTGTAGTGTTTTTTGGGGATATAATGCTATCTACCCCAACCTTAAAATAATTAATCATGTCTGTCCATATGACACTCCCTCATGGGTAAGAATTTAAGCTTTCAAGGTCATCTACTAGATTAATATAATACTTATTTAGATATACTTGTCCATCAGCGACTAAAAAAGCATGTGATAAAACATAGAGTAAAGACAACTTAACTATGTCATCATTTAACACTTGACCCTTTTGAAGTGTCTTAAAGAAACTCTTAATATCCGGCCGAAAAACCCTTGACTTGCAATTAATTAGGGAAGTACTTTTTCCAGATCACTCCCCTTTCAGTTACATCAGGTGGATTGGTTTCAAAATGTTCATCAAAGCGGGAGCCAAGAATCTCAGTGAATTCAGAAACTGGAAATGATATGAGTCTATTCTTTATTTCAAAATGAAGATGGGAACAACCATCTTTCTCACACTCATCTAATTCAAACAAGTTACCTAATAGCAAATGTAACAATTTCCCACAACGAGTGATCTCCTTAGCTGGTAAGAATCTCCCAAAGAGTGTCTGACTAAACAATAGAAGTTGAACATAAAGAAGTTTGGGCTTAAGAAGCTCTATTGAGTCATAAAGCATCGAGAAAGTATTAACTTTCCTATTTGAAATTTCTTTATAAACCCATGACTTGTCTGCCAGGCGTGTATATTTCTGAAAAGGCAAAACAAAGTTATAAAAGGGTAAGTACATGATAAAACTGCAGTATTGGACATTATACTTCACTAAAAGCAAAGTACAAAGTTAGAGGGAAAATTTTCTAATAAACTTATAGCATTAGACTCATGCATCAACGTTAAGCGAGTTGAAACACGACGTGATGGTGCAGTGACAGGAGAAGATGTGAACTCACTGTCTGACATTTCTACAAACAATGACCTAACAGAAAATGCAAAAAAAAAACAGTTAAATGAAATAAACCACTAAATAGAGATGAACAATACAGAGTATTAGTTATAAACTCACAATCGATTTTAGATTCCTCCTCAAATGTAGCAGGTCATTACAAAGGAAAAGCATTATATATCACCAAACATAAGCCTACTTTAAGTATTGCTGAATAGTGACCAATTCTTATATAGAGCTAAGTGATAGTAAGTAACAGCATGTTCTATAAGAAAAATGCACATTGGTAACATTTGACAAATAGTACTAGTGAAACAATGACAATGCATGAAAGGTATCTATGATTTTGAAAATTCATAAATAGGACAATGATACATAGTCAAATATATAAACCACATAAACTTGGTAGAACCAAATTCGTGAATCAAAACCCTAGATTTACTATAATTTTCTCAGAAATCAAACTTCAAAATGAAACTCACAATTAAATGTATTTCTTGTGTGCATTATGAATGAAAAACATATACTAACTGTAATAAGCGATGATTACTTACTTGATAAAAGCCAAATCACATGAGTGGAGAATTGAGAAGAAAACGAAGAAAAATTATATTGAATGAGATTCGAGAGAGAAGTTAAGAGAGATGAGCGTGTTCAGAATGTGTATACGATGGTGTTCTAATTCATGCATGTTATTCATGTCTTGATTATTTTATAAAAATTTCACTGCATTTTTTAACCATTAGATCTTAGATCTGATGTTCCTTATTCATTTGCATTTTGCACGAGAAGATGACTTGTTATTTGAACTAAAATATATGTATATGGTCCGGACTCCGGATCAAAGAACAAGACTTGTCATTGGAACAAACATTTTTACTCCAATTAAGGCACAATAAAATTCGTGTATTGCACTTTGGCATTGCCTACCAAGTTCGTCTATATGGGCTTTGATTTGATCAAATTTAAAGAAGTGCAATGGCATGCACTATTGTGCATCACATCACATGCGATTAAAAGTGTATAGTCTCTGGATAGGTTTTGTTCTGATTAGAACCTATGTTGTAAGACCCGAACCGGCCCGGGCGGGTCGACCCGGAACCCGGTCACCCGGAGCCCAATCCGGTCCGGTATCTCATCAACCCGCTAATAGGGTTGTATACGAACCGAATCGAGTCGAATAATGAGATTTTGTATTTGTATTTGTTTAATTTATTCGAATACGAATTCGAATTCAAATATGAAACAAATATTAATTTCGATTTGTATTTGTTTAACCATACGAATAGTTATCGAATCATATACGAATATCGAATCGATTTGAACATAAGTTAAAAATTAGCCAAATAACACTTTAAAATAACTTTTCTTATATTCCGTATTTTTTATGTCGTAAATGCATGTTATGACTTAATGGAGTATGTGTTTTTAGAATTAAAAAATTAATGGATCAATAGCATTTTTAGATGATGCACAATAAAGTGAATTAATTTTATGATTAACAAATATAAACTTATTTCAAACTTTTTGAAATAAACATTAACACACATGTATTAGAAATTATACTTATAATGTGTGAAATAAGTTGATAATTGTATATATCAAAGTCAAACAACTCCGATTTTATTTTTCAAATCGAATACATAATTATTTGTATTGTATTCAAAAGACATTTGAACCAAAAAAATGATTTGTATTCGTATTTATATTCTGGTTTATTACAAATGGGCTTGGAATTTGTATGCAAAAATGTATATATAGGCTACACTTTGAGGATATTTCTATCTTTTAAAAGTTATTATAGTTTTATTACTATTATTATTAATATTGATATTAATATTACCATTGTTATTAATCGAATATATTTGATTAATATTCGGATCGAATACACTGATATTCTTATTTGTATTTGATAACAACTCGAATAAAATTTAATATTCTTATTTGTATTTGAATTTTCCGAATTCGAATTCGAATCGTCTTATACGAATTCGAATCGCGAATCGAGCACAAATTATTTGATTCGTTTACAATCCTACCCGCTAATGTCTCCAAACCCGGACTTACCCGACAAACTTGCTGGACCCAAACCATAACCGGGACGGGCCGGAGGCCCAACCCGGAAAGTCAGTAGAACCCGGAGTCATTTGCAAAAACATTCGCGAAAGGGACTCGAACAAGGGTCTTAAACTTGAGTAGCCTGCTTGCAAACTATCGAACTGCACTATATTGTTCGCTATTGTTGATGTTTAGACGTATTTATTATACTCTGAAGTATTATTGAAAGCTAAGTCCTACTTGATAAATAATAATACTAAATAATAATCACCCACCCATCATTATTACTAAATGCTCTCAGTCAATACATTAAAAGTTAAGTATGAACTGATAATTAAATATAATCATAATAAAATATAACAACATTGATGAACTCTGTACTACATACTTACAGAGTATTATTATAGTAATAATAAGTGAAATTATTTATGTAATATTTATTTTTTTAATAAGCATCATATATGTATTTATTGTCAATTTAATTTAAAATACATTTAATATTTTGTAAAAACTTGTATATTTTAGAATAATAACTTAATTTCTATGTTGACCGGGTTTTGCGGCGTTGACCGGCTTGACCCGCCGGGCTCGGGTTGACCCGTGACCCAATCATCTGGCCGGGTGGCTGCCCGGTCCGGTTTTTACAACATAGATTAGAACCACGTCAAATAAAAAGGATGTTAACATGAAAAATGTGAAATTTCTACTTTTACTTCGCTACACTGCACTTTTACTTTTACTCAATATTGCACTTTTTCACAGTGGCAAATTATTTCAGAAAATGTCATCGAGTTTTAAACCAAATTTGATGCCAAACTGAATGAATGAAAACCTTTCATATTTTCACACCAACACTTATTTTTATTAGATTTAATATAAGGAGTATATATACGAAGTATTAGTTTCTACAATTACTATGCCAAGTACTCCGTGTTTCTTACGGAGTAATTCTTTAATGTATGTACCCATCCCGAAATCGTCAATTACTAGAAAGGAGGGGTAGATTTTAAGCTGGATCTACCTAAAAAAAGAGTCAAAAAGAAGTTGGGTAGAGCTGGGGCCCGCGAAAATTAGTTGAACTGAAATATGAAATGGATACTCGGTGTGACTTGCGCACAGTCATGGCTTATCTAATGCCGCTTGCTCTCCTGACAAGTTTGTTAACCATTTAACCTCTCTAACTTCCCCCCCTCCATCTTCTCTATCTCACTTTGTCGCCGCCTACAAATGTTACCGCCAAAATCAGACCTTCGAGCCAGCTCGATGCCGCACGTGGTTGCGCCGTCGGAGAGAGTCATCGTCGCCGTCAAGGCGGAGAAGGTGATCGCCAAGGCCGCGCTGGCTTGGGCTTTGTCTCACGTCGCGCGTCCCGGAGATTGCATTACGCTTCTCGCCGTTGTTCCAGAGCAAAAAACAGGTAACGACGAGCTTACGCGCATTTCCTTTAATTAAGCGGAATTACTGTAGCTCATTACTACGAGCAGTTAACTTCTGAGCAAATTATATATAAAGCGTTTTCCGTTCATTTTCATTGCCGTAGCAGAGAGGAAATGGTTTTGGGGGTTTCCAAAGCTGAATGGAGACCGCCGCCGCGACCTGGTGAACTCGGCGGATCGAATATGTCAAATCACCGACTCGTGCTCTCAGATGGTTCTTCAATTCAACGACCAGATTGATGTGAGTAAATCACTCGACATTGACTCCTTAGATTCCTCTGTTTTGACAATGAATGAATAATTTATATTATCCTGTAACCTAATTACGGAGTACTTTTTTTTTGTACTATTTTTATCTCCTCCGTGATTCGATCATGGATCACAATCCTACGTTGAAGTAATTCCGATTTCTGAGATTGTTCTTCTTCTGGAGAGAGTCCAGCTTCGCTTATACTTCTAAGTTATAGTGTGTTTGAGTGTTTCATAGTAACAGGAAATATTGTAACACCTCTCACTTTTCTACACTCCTAAAATGATGCGAATAACATCTGTAAACTTATTTTCGCGTAAATCTAAAATAGTTGGCTCTGGCGCTCTGCTACTGCGATTAAGTGGTAAAATGGTAGAGTGTAACTATGGCTCTCCTACTCCTACACTTTTTTCGAAAGGATTTAAAGAGAGATGGAAAACACTTATGGGAATTGCTTTAACGGGCAGATACGAACAAAAGTTTTTTGCACTTCTTATTTTTTAACTTACTTTAGAGTGTAGCTAGAGGTCAATTAATTAATAATGTTCATATTGCACAAGTAGGACCGCAGTCGGTCCTGTTTATTCTAAGAGAGCATAAGCATGTGCGCTTTGCTGTTGTGTAGTCGCAATTGTACTGACTGAACAGTTTTCATTCGATATTAGAAGGCTGTAGTGCATGTATAACAGGTAAATGCTTTATACCAATAATCGAGTAGGTGACTAGCAAATAAAAGCCCGGACAACTTTTCACGTACACAGGCAACTTTTTTAGACTAGTTATAAAATACCTCTATTATATCTTTAAACATAGGCAACTTTTAGATTAGTTGTAAAAGACCTCTATTATGTCTCTATACACAAGCAACTTTTAGACTAGTTGTAAAATATGTGTACAAAGTACTTTCCCTAAAAACTCTTACAATTTGATTATAGGTAAGAGTGCGGATTAAGGTTGTGTCAGCCACTTTTGCCGGTGCAGTGGCTGCTGAAGCAAAGAGCATTGGAGCCAGCTGGGTCATACTGGACAAGTAATTCACTCTAATAAATTTTGTCTTACGCATAGAACGTACTCCGTACATAGTAGCTCTTGAATTTTGTCTTTTCTGTTACTTTATTACGGAGTATATGCTCATTCTAATGCAAAATAGCTGTCACTTGGGCGTTACACTAAGAGCATCTCCAATGCTACAATGTGCACGGTGCACATGTGGCATGAGAGAGATAGACACAAAATATTGTTTTTATGACGTTTCTCTCTCCGTCTTTCCACGGTCTTATGTGTTTTTGGTAAGTTTTTCTTTGCAATGTCAACCACAATGTCTACTTCTAGACATTGTGCTTGACATTGTGAAGAAAAACTTACCAAAATGATATAAGATCCTTCAAATAAGGAGAGAGATACTTTATTTATTGTTTTTTGATTGGCTATCTCTCATGTCACATATACACCGTTAACGTTTTTGCATTGAAGATGCTCTAATATGCATATTAAATGTTTTATTTGTGCTTCATTGAGCATATCACCACAATGATTAAGTTGAGGATAAAATTCAAAAAAAAAAAACATAAACATAGTGAAAAGGATCATTAAATGTATTTAATTATACTCCCTCCTACAAAACTCTAAGACAATCTTTGCTTTTAATCTTCCCTAAGAGAATACGGATGGTAAGATGGCAGATTTAAAAAGAGAAGAAAGTTAAAATTAAAATTGTTTGTAAAGTTTTTTGCAAAAAAGAAAAAGATAAAAAATTGCTCTAGGGAGTAATCCTACATAGTTACATACTACATAGGACTACCCTCCCATAATACTACATAGGACTATAGGAAGTATTTTTTTAATTAATTGTTTTGATCTGATAGATATTTCTGTAATTTGTGTCTGATCTGCAAGTATAAAAAACTACTGCCAAATGCCAATTCATTTTTCTTATTCTCTAAGTCAGAAAATTGAAACATGAGCTAAAGGTATGCGTGGAAGGACTACGATGCAATGTTGTAGTCATCAAGGCAGGTTCGCATCCAAAGGTCCTTAGGCTCAACTTAGGGTGCTCAGAAGAATGGCCGCCACAAACACCCTTCTTTTCTGCTCACTCTTCACCCATTTTGGACCATCTAAATCCACATGGCTATAGCCAGAGAATGAAACATTCAACTCCTGTTAGCAGTCCAGAGGATCCAACAAGTCCTTTATACAACATGAGAACAACTCCACCACAAAATCTATCTGTTCTTCTTTGCCAGCACAATCCACTATATGAAGGTCCTAATAATAACAAAAATACAGGAAGGTTTTACAAAGAAAGTGACTTTGAGCGTGGTCGGGGAACCAAAGCAATGGACTCAATTGGGGAAAAAGTTGTTACTCTCTCATCACGTAGTGGGATAAGGGAAGCAGTATCTTTAGGTAGTAAGGTCTCTTCAAAACCACCCCCGCTATGTTCAACATGTCAACTGATCGCTCCATCATTTGGGAAGCCACCCAGGGAGTTTCCGTATGAAGAGCTAGAGGAAGCCACAGATGGGTTCTCCAGCAAAAATTTTCTTGCAGAAGGAAGGGTGGGTTTGGTTCACAAAGGTATTCTAAAGGATGGAGTGGTGGTTGCTGTGAAACAGATCAAGTTTCTTGGTTCTCAAGCTGATGCTGATTTCTCTAGGGAAGTGCGAGTCTTGAGCTGTGCACAGCATAGAAATGTGGTGCTTCTCATCGGTTTCTGCATCCAACGAAACAGGATGCTATTAGTTTATGAATATATTTGCCATAAGTCCTTGGATTTTCATTTACATGGTAATTTCTGTTTATTTCCTTAAAAAAATAAAAATATATTCGCATTATATATCTACGACGTTACTCTAGCTAGCGACTTAGCAATGTTATATGACAGGAAACAGCGGTAAAGCTCCGGATTGGCCATCAAGACTGAAGATAGCTACAGGGACAGCCAGAGGATTACGCTACCTTCACGAGGACTGTAGGGTTGGATGTATAGTTCACAGGGATTTGCGGCCGAAGAACATTCTCCTAACTCATGATTTTGAACCTTTGGTAACATTTTATTTATTTTCCCAGTACTAATTGTTCCACTTCTGTTTTTCAAGAAATATGGTAGATGTGGAGTAGAAGTGGATGTTTTATGACATCACTCGTTTCTTCAAAGAACAATTTAAAGGATAAATGTGTATACAAACAGTACAGCCAAATAGCCAAAAATATCCCCAAACTCTTCCACTGTCTCGTTTAGTCCCTAAAAGAACAAGGGTAGTAGAGTATTCATAAATATTGCAACATTTATGAAGATAAAAACCAACATTATGGAACACCAACTCTGTAGCAAGTTTCAAATCATATTGATCTACATCTACAAATGTTTGATCATATCACTATATCAGGTTACAGATTTTGGGCTAGCAAGGTTTCACAGTGAATGGGACTTCTCAGATGACAAACACCATCTTGGAACTTCAGGGTACATGCGCGCATTACCTTGTTCTCTTTACTGGTTTCTTCATCCTAGCCTTTTAAGCATTGTTAAGTTTTTATTTTGAAAACATTGTTTAATTTCTTCTGTGCTTTAGGTATTTAGCACCAGAATTCTTCACTCATGGAAAGGTTACTGAGAAAGTTGACATATACGCTTTTGGCCTTGTGTTGTTAGAGTTGATTACTGGTAAAAGAACAAGTGACTTCCTCCTATATCACAAATGGAAGAACATTTTACTGGGGAATCATTACTACCCTTCAGCTAAGGTGGATCCGATTCATATTTTGGCATATAAGCATCAGTTGTTGGACTCCAATTTGGCATCAACACAACTTCAAAACTTACCCCGTGAAGTACATGCAATGGGCTTTGCCGCTTCATTGTGTTTGCAACGAGAACCTCACATGCGTCCTCCCATGTCAAAGGTTTTCCCCAACCCCAAATGTAGATTTTATATCCACCGATTTTCACTTTTGGTCACCCACTTTCACGTGTTCAAATTTTTGCTAACTATCGTCTTATTACCACTTTTAGTCCTGTATACTTATATTCAATTTCTTTAAATTTACAATTATATTCCGTATTTTAAAGGGAAAGTTCCCGAAATGAGACTAAAAAAGTTTGAAAATTTTAAAATAGGACTGTCATGTTTTTATTCCCAAAATAGGACTAATTACTGCCAAATTTGGAAAATACTGTCATGTTTGAAGTCTGGTACTGCCAAACATGACACTAATTAGTCCTATTTTGGGAATAAAAACATGAAAGTCCTATTTTGGAATTTCCAAATTTTTTTAGTCTCATTTTGGGTAATATCACTATTTTAAAAGATAGAGACAAATTTTTGGTTGTTTAAATAAGTTTTTTTTCATGGTTGTTTAATTAATATACAAGGCAGAAAGACAAAAATGGTACGTACAACTTAATTGCGGTACACCAAAAAATGAAAACAGGGCTAAAAGTGAAGATGATCCGACTTTTTGTAGGGTCAAAATTGAAATATTCTCTAATTATTACTCGTATCAGATAAGACTATAAGAATTAAGAGGGCTTACTTTATTTCTTTTTTTATCAAAAAAAGATCATCAGGGTATTAGAGGGAGGAGCTGCAGTACTGCCGCCGGATTTAGACTCAAATGTAGACAGCGAGAGAAATCGTCTTCCAGAATCAAGGAGGCATTGTCGAAGACTTTCTTACTGAAGTGAAAATACATTTTCAATACATAAATTGGTAATTCTTTGAAAGATAAATTAGGCTTCACTCATTTTGCAATATACATGACTACATGGTGATTCTTAGAAGAGGTAAAAGTAAATTACTGAAGTATCCTTTGTGAGAAGAATATAGTCAAATTAGATTTACAAAGAGATAACAATGTATGCACTACACTTTTGTGTATCCTGTCTTTAATAAATTTTTCATTTTACCCAATTGAATTAGTTTGGTAAAAATGGCTACCAATAGCAATAAATGTGTATTGGTTTAAGCACGCCGTGATTCGATGACATCACTATAACCTCCTGGTTCGAAGTAGTCACAAGTTTAAAACTCATTTTGGTAAAAAATGTTGACATTTAATACGAGTAGAATAATACGTGGTATGTGAAAAAAGTATAACAAAGGGAAATTTGAATGCATTTCCGATTGAAGTTTTAGCTGAAATTTGGTATGACTGTATGAGTAAACCAGACTTAATGAATAAGATACTAAAAAAAATTCATCAAAAAATTTCACCGGAAAGCGCCCCAAATCGCGATGGTCGGACAAATCCTCATATATAAAAGGACTTATTTGATTTTCTTATGAAAGTTCGAGTACCTATTTGACAGTTTTCCCTATAACAAAAAAAATAGAAACGTACGAGTATTAGTTAAAAATTACTTGCCTAGTCAAGTCAATTTTAATTTTTGTAACCTGCCCATTTTGGTGAATCCCAAAGTGTTACAAATAAGAATAAACTAAATTCGTTACCCAATACCACTACTAATTTTGGGGAAAATGTCTGCCAATTGAGGCATTTTTACCATACTAAAATGTTACAAACGCAACGATCCACTAAAAGCCTGTTTTGTGATCATGTTTTTCGGCTTATCAAGCTTATCAGTCAGTTTTTTCACTAAACATGTAACTTTTGATTTCGTTTGTTGAATTGTGTAATAATAAGAAAAACTAAAGTTGAAGTTATTTTTCTGGCTGTATTGGAAGTTATTGTAGAGGATCATTTTTAGATATTTTTTCATATAATATTTTATTTATTTTATAAATAAAAAATACTACCATACATATTTTAAATACTTCGTATTTTTCATAAATCAGCACAATCAGCCAGTACAATTATTTCAGCTAAAACCTCATAAATTTCAACAAAATCAATCAATTAAGCCAATTTCAATGTTACCAAACGGACTTTAAGTCTACAAATTTAATATCAATTTCTTAAGCTTACGAAAAAGCAATTCTTTTTACGCAGTATCTCTCTTTAGACAAAGACACAAATATTATTTATAACTTTGTAAAATACATTAAAAAAGCGTCTATTTTTCATTTTTTCATAGAATGTGGCTAATTTTCATAATTCATTTTTTAATTGTAATTTATATCAAATCTCTACCCCAGACCCAGACCCAGACCCCCTCCACACCTACCCAATCACAGCCTAATCCGCCACCAGAAAAGTGGTTGAAATTTTTTTGATGATTTTTTTGTTTGTATTTTTTTTTTAAATCGTCAGAAAATGTCATTTGAAAATTTTCTGGCAGTCACAATGACATGTTTCACGCCAACAATGACATTCATAAGTGACATGAAAATCTGACATTCACATATTTTATTAGTGACATAAAAAACCAATTGTGACATGCAAAATTTATAACTACGTACATCACGTTTTCAAAATATATGAGCTTGTTTACGTATGTAAAAGTGGTCAATTTTTAAAAATTTGTTTGAATTTATTCATATTTAAGGAAAACCCGTCATATTTTTTTCATTGAAAATGTGTGGCCTTGTATATATAAGGATTTGGTTACACACTTACACGATCGAACTAGCCTTGAAGTATATATGCATGCGAGACAGGTCTATTAATCTATCACAGAAGATTTTTACAACATTAATTTCCTTTTAGTAATAGACAAATGACAAGGAGTCGAACCGGTGCTGGTCAATATTTCCAAAACCAGATTTTAGTCAACTCGACCATACATGTGATGCAAATCCGGGGCTGATTCAGAAACGCGCCAAACCTTGACAGACTTATCCAAGCTTCCACTATACACCACCCATTTCCCACTCGACTCCTTGTCCTCCTCGACCGCCAGACACTTAACCGGTCCACTGTGACCGGCCAAGACCGAGAGGCACATGTGAACCGGGCCGTCCCGCCTCCACACGCAAATCGTCTTATCCGCTGAACCGCTGAAGACCATATTTCGGCCGGCCGCAACAAGGCACAGCACCGCCAGCTTGTGGCCTTTGAGGACCCCGCCGTGGCACAACCGCTTCTCGCGTTCCCAGAAGTTAACGAGCCCGTCGGATGAGCCGCCGTATAGAACTGTTCCGTCCTTGTTCACCGCCAATGCCGTTACAGCAAACTCCTATGGATGGTTAGTCATATGCACGTACGTTAATTGTCTCATCCTAGTTAACCGAATAAAATGAATAATCAGAAAAATCAATTTTACAACTCAATTTTGGGACGAAGCGAATACTCCCTTTGTTTTATTTCAAAACTACTCCGTAAAACTTATTTAATTCTATTGCAAGATCAAAGAAATACGAAGTACAAAATTTCACAAAATAAAAGTGAATGAATCCTATTTTAAGAAGAAAACAGTGATATGCTGATTTTATTTGTGAATTTTATTGGTATTTTAAGAGAACTTTCTCTAGATTTTAGGATTTGCCAATGTCTTATCTTTAAAGTTGAACTTCTGTGTTTTACCAATCTCGCTTTGGGGTTTAGTGGCGTCAGTCCGGCGAAATCGATGGCGGAGATGGCAACGGCTAGTTGACGACTGATTGGCAACAACTCTTTTTGCTCATAACTTTTTTTTGTTCCGGAAAAAACCACCAAAATCGGTGGGGTAGATGTCGAGGAACATCTACCAAATTTTATTACAATAAAAAACAGAGTACCAATCAAGGCCTAAAATACAAATAGAGAAAATGAGAAATAGCAGCCAAATTAAAGAGATCCAGATAGACTTAAAACCGCGACTGTTTTTGCTCATAACTTCTTATTCCTATTTTACATTTTAAATATCTAATTCTACTATGCGAACCTGATAACGGGCTCGATTCTTCTTTACTTAATTTTTGAAGAAGAAAATTGGAACTATATCACCAAACACGTTAAATTGGTTCTGTGTCTATTTCAAAAACTAAAATTTGTTTGCACGTATTACCTCTGGTCCTATTTTGTTTTGGTTTGACATAATTACTAATAAAATGACTGAAAAATAAAATTGTTTTTAAGATGTGAATATATGTGAAAATGGGGTTTAAAAGGAAAATGGGGTTTAAAAACTCAAATAAGACAAGGTAAAGAGCTCGTTTGGTGACCACATTTTTCGGCTTATCAGGCTTATCAGCCAGGTTTTTCACCAAACACGTGATTTTTTATTTCGCGCGCTGAATTGTGTAATAAGCAGAAAAAGTAAGGTTGTAGTTACTTTTCTGACTGTATTGGCTGAAGTTACTGTAGAGGATCATTTTAGCTATTTTTTCATATAATTTTTTATTTTATTTATTAATAAAAATATTTGTAATGAAAATATTTTTTTTTCATGAATCATCAGAATCAGCCCATACAGCCACTTCAATCAGAAATTCATAAATTTCAACAGAATCAGTCAATACAGTCAATTTTAGTGTTACCAAACGGGCTCAAAATGAAAGTTGAGACAGATAAGGGGTTCAATATACTTCAGTTTCTCACTGCACGTTGTCTTTACTTAAAAGGCAAAATATACCTTTTGTTCGTAATTTTTTTGTACGTTCATATCTAACATTAATTATTTGGATGTTAAAAATTTGTCTCACAGTTTAATGTCCAATAAAGTATCACACATATGAATGTTCACATAGGAAGAAAATGTATCGTTATACGTATCTTAAGATATATTTCATTGTTTCTAGTTTTGTTCATGCATGCTTTATAAAAAACACATACTACGTAATTGTTTTAAGAAATACTCCGTACATAGCATTTTAAAAACAAATCAACATTTAAGATGTAAAACTAATAAATGCAAATTTGAAAACTGCTACAAAGTATGCATTGAATCTCCAGAATGACAATGATGCAAGTACGAAAACATAGCTAATTAATACGAAGTATGAAAATTAACTTGGGACACGTAAGGTACTCTTTCTGTCCCTAACATACTGTCTAATTAATATAGTTGGATAAGAGATTAAAAAATTCAGAATTATGAATTTGGGATTTTAGAGGAGATCGAGATAGTATTAATTCCAAAATTGATATTTTGTCTACTTGAAAAGAAATAAACATTATATTTATAGCTGAGTATGTATATACCTAGTAGGCTATAGGAATGTGCCAAACTAATTGAAATTAACGGGATTGATACGAAATTTATTTATTTACTACGTGTGTATTATTAGTATAAAATTAGACTTATAGTCATACGATGTACTCCGTATAGTTTTTACAACTATATTTGTACAAATTAACAATGTTTTATTGTTACATAAAGAGATTTATGTGTCATAATGAAAGAATTTTTGTGTGTCTCCGACTAAAATTTGACACATAAATCTCCTTACAAAACAAAAAACTATTGTCCGTGTACAGACAAAAAACGGCGTGTACAACCTGATGTGTATAAATAGCAATTTCCTAAATTATATCATGTCTCCCTACACTTAATTGGTTTTGTAATTAATAAATATCAAAAAATATAAAAATATGATTTTATACACTCTCTTTGGCATTTCTTTACAAAACCTTTACTTTTTTTTACTACCTTCGTCCTATAAAACTTGGCTAAATTTTCTTTTTATTTTCCAAAAATTTCTGTCATTTCCATTTAAAGTAACACATGGGTAGCTAAAGTTTTTTCTTTCTCCTATCCACAATCTAAATTACACATTTTTTTCTTTTTTCTTTTAAGTATGAGTCAACTTTAGTCCAATTTTATGAACCGAACAAGAGTATGAAAAAGTTGTTGAAATTACAAAAGTCGTTCCGTTGTTTTCATGTTTTTAACACGATGGAATAGACAGTTTGAAATTAATATACTACGGGTATGATCCGTATGAAATTAAAGCTATCACATTATGTTCGCAGATGCATTTAATACCTGGGCTAACAAGGTTTGGAGATAAACGTGTTTGACGGCCTTGCCGGCGGCTTCCCTCTTCCAAACTTTAACCCGGCCATCGGCGGAGCCGGTGTACACCACGCCGTCCGCGGCGGCGACGACAG